GAGAGAGAGAGAGAAAGAGAGGGGGGGGGAGGGGCTGGTGGTAACCCACCTGGATTCAGGTGCTGCCTTCGGATCCTCCCGTTGCTGCGACCCTCGGCTCCTCGATGCCTCCTGCTGTTCGAAGCTGCAGGGTGTGGCTGAACGACGACGTGGGGGGCTGCTTCCAGCTCCAACACACGAGAGAAGACGACRACGACAACGGCGAGGGGGACACATGGCGCGGGGCAGGGCTGAGGCTGACTAACGGGGTGGGGCCGGCGCGGGGCAGGGCCGAATACTTCAAAAACGAACTACTTAGATTTCCCCGCCCTTTCATTTTTGCGGGGCCCTGCGCGCCCTCAAAAAAAAATATATTTTTTTTGTTAACCGGTGGCGCGAAGTGCCTACCGGCCTTGCAACTCCCCCCCCCCAACTTTCCTTTTTTTTTGGTGACCCCTCGATTCCAGAGTGTGCCGCATGCGATGCGCGCGCGTCGTGCGCACGTGCGCGGTGCAGCGCATGTCGATCCGCCGCATGTATGGTATGAATTGATTTCAGAAGATAAGTCAACTTACGTTGACCTGAGTCTTCTTTATTTGAAAGTGTTTTGTCTGAGTAACTCCTGACTGTCTTTGAAAGAAGGGACTAGGATTGATTGAGATTTCCTTATGCTTAGGTTATCACGTCCTAGTCGACCGACGTCGATCCGATTGCTGGGAGATCAGCGCCCTAGGGACAAACGACGCCCAGGTCCGCTTTGGCGTTCAACCGCGCGTACCTATGCTACAGCGAATGAGCAAACGCCCTCGGCCGGCCTACCTATGCAATTGCATCATAAAAGCCTTCGCACGTGGGCCGGTAGCTTGGCGGGGATACGCCCCTGAGGGTGGTGACAGCCCCTTAGGGAAGGTAAGTTGTGCCCCGCGGGAACCTATCCCGTCGTAGTGGACCGCAGGATGTACAGCTGGCGCACTCGGCCGGAGCGGCGAAGGGTCGACGCGGGTTACCGTGTCGTCCCCGAGTTGTCTCCAAAAAGTTGAAAGCCTAAGCATCTACTGCGTGACGCGGCCGGGAGGGCCCTCGCTCGCACGGGGGCCGATGCGCTTGACAATGCTCGGGTGCCCAGTTGGGCCGATCCGGCTGGGCATAACAATCTTCCTAGGTTATGCACTTGATATGGCTGCACAGTGCACAAGTTGTAAGTAGTAACGGTTAATAAGCAGATCATGAGTTGGAAATCCTGAATGATTCTGACAAATACAATTTTGTTAGGGGCCACCGCCTTTTTCGATAAAGAAAGAGGAACAGGTTTCGTGGCTTACCTGCTGACTTTCTGATGGTGTGATGTCCTCAACCCTAAGAAAAACAGCATTTTCTTGCTGGAGGACCTGTTTTCCTTTTTCTGTTCTTTACCATCCGAAAAGGGGTGACAGCCTTGGCTTAATCGATTCATCATCCAAAGACCACGCCGACGTAACGAGTTCTTTTAATCATCATCTGATTCCATCACGATTCGAACTCGGGTATGTTTATCAGCAGTTACATGGGATGCTGGGACCTGTCTTTCAGAGAACCCTTGTTTCCTCTCTACACTAACTTTTTAAGATGTTGGAAAATGCTGAAAAAGACAAGCATCACTCACCAGCGACTGAACCTTGCATCTGAGATTGCGTGGGTACATACGCACCACCTGCAAACAGAAACAGAAAGCAACTGCCAATCATCAGCAGGAGGTGGCCAGACTTTCCTGGGGATGGCAATAGTCCTTGACATCAACAAAAAGAGGACAATGGTCAATTATTCTCCCTCCCCCCGCGACAACATTCAGACTATGAGCAGGACGAGTTACCAGACCGGAAAAGTAGGTGTTAGTGCCTAAGGGGAGAAAAAGGCGAGAGAAAACTACAGCGTAGTCAGGGTTTGAGTTTGAAAATGCACTTCAGGCAAAATGTTGAATTCATACAAGCAAGGTTTTGGGTCCGGTAGGTCACATGGGGGTGTGTTATGTTCGGGAGAATGTCGAAAGTGAATTTTCAAACTGTTTTCGTGACTGCGCCATAGTTACCTCAAAAGGCAAACAAAGTAGTACGGTTTGTCTCCCTTACCAAACAGTTATGGGGAGCAGGAATAGGGAAAAGGGAAAAGGAACCAAAAGGGGTGAAAAACACTGAAAACTTAAAAGTTTTTTCTTTGAAAGGAGATCTAATAGCATGCAAGGGAGAGCCAAAAGCGAAAACTGAATCAGGAAAGCAAGAACGCCATGAAGTGGCATGAAGCAAGAAAAGAGAAAAGAGAAATGAAAAGAGACCGGAGAGCAGCATGAACCTTTCACACTTGGTTTCAGTGCAATTCTGTAATGACTTCACAAATACACAATCACTTACCCCCAGTGAAAGGATCTGGCACGGACAAGTCCACCGGCTCGATGCGCTCACCAGTATTGGTCACAATGAACTCTACCACTTGCTCTCTGTATGCGGGCGGAAGTTCCTGTTCCATAAGCCAGTTATCGGCCACGTCATAGGGGTTTTCTGGTCGACAAAAATTCAGAAAACAATTAAAGAACTCCCCATCAGAAGGCATTAGAGAGTATTGCTCTCACAGATTGCTAAACCATCAGAAAGCCATTGCAGTGGGTATTTCATTTCATTTCATTTCAATAACAACCGGGGTAGTCACCAGTCCGGGCAGGACGTCCGTCTCTCTCAGGGTGTCTGGGATGGACAGGCTCCAGTCAACCTGTCCGGAAATCTGTAGAAGTCAGAAACAACTCGTGGAGAGCTTTTCTTAGGGTGGAGAGCTTTTCTTAGGTAAGGACCAGAAGGGTTATTTTAGAGTTGTCAAATGGAAGGGGCCCAAAACTGGGCCTGTTTCCAAAAAGCCTGTTTTGGCTCCAAGGTGGTCTGAAGGGTGAAAAAAAGGGGGTGAAAAAGTGGGTGTAAAGGGGTTTAAAAGGGATCTCTGAAGGCTACAAGTGGACCCCCAGAAGAGCAGCCGAGGACCAGGGGGAAAGGGAGGAGGAGGGGAAAGAGGGTGGAGCAGATCCTGTCTTCATCGTTGTGATCCTCCTCTCGCATCCTCCTTCTCCCCTTCTCTCCTTCCTCCTTTTCTGCCTTCATCGTTGTGATCCTCCTCCCACCTTTTCCTCCTCCCCCCTCCTCCTTCCGTCTCCTCCTCCACTCATCCTCTGTCCTCCTTGATTGGTCCTCGTCGTCCCTGCCTCTTTCCTGTATCGTCGCTATCATCGCTCCTCTTCCTCTACGCAGACTGTTTCGTCTGAGAGAGCATCCCTCCTCCATCCATGTTACCTGCTCTCCTCCATCTGTGCTCGTCACTCTCCTCCTTCGTCTGCGTCAATCCTCCATCCCTCTCCCGTCATTTCGCCCCTGGGCAAGCATGACACTCACACGCCGCTCCATCATTCCATCCACACTTGTCGCCTTCCTCCGTCCTCCGCCTCGATGCTCCAACCTCCTGCCTTCATTTCGCCCCCGCGCAAGCACGCCCACGTAGAAACACTGAGAAGCGGCCCAAATATGAAGGAAGTTCACTTGGCCAAAAAACAGAGAAGAAAGAGACTCGGAATCCGAACAAAGAAAAGTTTGTGTGCAGTCTTTCCTGCATCGTTGTCGCCCTCCTCCCTCCATCGTTGCCGCCCTCTTCCTTCCTCCTCCCTCGTCGCCCTCCATCCTCCCTCCTTGTGCCTGCGTCTTTGTCATCCACTCATCTTTCCTCCACCCTCGCTGTCATCCGCCCTCCTCTTGTCCCTCCATCCTCGCTCCTCTTAGTCCGTCCATCCTCCTTCCTCCCTCCTCCATGTGGCTGACATGTATGATTACCAAAAACAGTGTCCCTCCATGCATGCTTGTCCCCATCCTCCCTCCTCCTGAGCTCTGCGTCCACCCACCATCTTCCATCGCCATTGTCCTGCTCCTCCCTTCTCATCCTCACTGCTCCTTATCCCTTGTCCTGCTCCTCCATCGTCGACCACGTCAATATCGCTGTCTTCCTGGCATTCGTCAGGCTTTCACCGTCTCATCGAACACCTTGATGGTTGTGGCCCTCGTCCGTCTTCCTCCTCCTCCCTTTGTCCTTGCTCGTCCTCCTCCTCCTCCTCCCTCTACGTCCTCCCTCTCCGTCCTCCCTCCTCCTCCTCCCTTCTCCTCCTTCATCCTCTCTCCTCCTCTATTCATCCTCGGCATCCCTCCTCTTTCCAATGCCGTCACTGTCCTCGAATGTCCACTGGAAAGAATATGACACACACGTAAAAAGCTGCTCGAATGTGAACCAAGTTCACTAGCCCAAAACAAAAACAAAAACCAAGACGCTCAAAATTTGAACAAAGAAAAATTATGTCCTCTCATCCCTCCATCGCTTTCGCCCTCCTCCCTCCTCCTCCTGCATCCTCCCTCCTCGTCCATCCATCTTCGCCGTCCGCTCCTCTTCTCTCCATTGTTGCCGTCATCCTCCCTCCTTTCTGCCTCCATCGTTGCTTCTCTTACTCTGTCCCTCCTCGATCCTCCCTGCTTCTCCACGCGCATGACGTGTGCCGTTACCAAAAAGAGTGTCCCTCGTCCCCATCATCGTCCTCCTCCTCGCTTGTCCATCGTTGACCTCGTGTGTATGTTTTATCATGTTCGCTATACAGGTGTGTCTCTGTGTGATTTGCACTTCCATCAGCACACCTCTCCACCACTTCACACCATAATCATGACGAGCACCTGATTGATTGGGGGGAGATGGGTCGGGGTACGGAAGCAAGAGAGAGAGAGAGAGAGAGACACACACACACACACACACACACACACAGAGAGAGATGCGTGAGCACAGAGAGAGAGAGATGCGTGAGCAGAGAGAGAGAGAGATGCATGAGCACAGAGAGAGAGAGAGAGGGTGCACTTCCTCACGCGCCCCCGACCTTCTGGTTTCGTTTTCACACCACGATCGAGGGCAGGCCCTCTCTCTCTCTCTCTCTCTCTCTCTCTCTCTCTCCCCCTCCCTCTGTCTCTCCCTCCCTCCCTCTCCCTCTCCTCCC